GAAGATGTTCTCTATGCGTATGCATCAAAATTGGAAATTGAGAAACCGGCCCATTCCTTTATCATCGACACAACAGATGATAATATCAAGAATTTATTTAGCCAAGTCGAGTGGAAGGAAATTATGAACGTTAATAAGAAAACTGTACCGGCCATTGACAAGGATATTGGGACGCATTTGATGAGTTACAAAAAGAAAACTCCCTCAGAAATGCGAGTACATGTTATGAAACCGTGGTTAAATACGACATATAACATAGAAGATCATTTTGATTTTCAATACATTCATATGGTTTTTTCACGTCTATTGGACGAATGAGTCTCCGAAGAACCGATTGATGCAACCGCATGCGGAAGGGTGGTACGCAGTTAATATTTGGGGTATATTAATTGATAAAGCATTCTTAAATGTTTCCGATATAGATCTTGTCCGTGGTGAGACGTGTAGCGTTGCATCAAGCAACCGAAGAAATGATGATGAGATGTACATAGTGAAAGGCAATAGAAAAGCACTGGGACATCGAATTGATGGTATTGTTCAAAACTTAGTCAACAATTGTGAATACGGAGGAATTGAAGTCGCGAAAACATGTCAAGGTCCACATGACAGGAAACAATTAGGCGATTCGTTGAAACTCACAAAACTCCTTAAAGACATGTTTCACCAACAATCAGGTGTTGTTGACTATAATGAAGAGATAGTCAAAAAATTAGAGGTTGTTGGCCTGTTGCATTCGCGCCTTCAATTACAACAGTTCATGATGGATTTCGGATGTGGTTCTTGTTTATGGCTTAAAAAAGAAACAACGAGAAATATTCCTCTGCATCTGGGTGACGTAATGGATCTCATCCATACAATTGTATCTGTCCTTCATGCCAAATTGCGAATTCAACGTTGCATTGAAGTGATGAAAAATGAACCTGAGACGAATCATTCTTACAAGAAATCACACAGCCTCCTTCGCGTCCTTCCACACCACCTAATACTGTATGCCTTGCAAAAACAACGACTCCAATAAAAAACAAGTGATTGACATGATATATTCTGTAGACATGTTCTGGATAGATAATAAAAATATATGCTACGATTTTATGTATTATATACATTTTGTGTTAATTTTAATAAAGCATCCCTTGCTAGATTATTTTTCACTTGTAATCAATAATCTGCTCACATAGGACATCTGTTTTTACCGTGTATGAGAAAATAGCACCTTTGGTATTTTCTTTTATTAAATAAATGTTATAAAAAATACTCAATGCAAAAAAAGCCCATTGCGAAAAATAATGCATACATGTAACAATCATAGAGCATTTAAAATTTCGAGTTTACTCAATAAGA